AGTAATGCATAGCATTCGCAGTAAAAATACTGATTAGTCTGAATTAATCCATCTGATATGTGTATTAAAAGGCATTTAAATATGTTGTTTTAAGAAGTTCTCATAACCCTGGATGCCATATTTAAAAACAAACATCAGTACGCTATGTTTTGCAGCCTCTTAAACAAATAATCTCGCTTTGATTTAAATAACATTTATTTTACATGACCAAACACAATAAATAACGTAATATACAAAGCTTTATAATTATTGCACATTTGTAAAATATTTTACAGTGAGTTCATACAGCCAGCAATATTTAAAGCACAAAGACTTTATTTACAGTTTCATATAATAACCAGGTCCAACGGACCTAACATAAAACGAATTTATGTTAATTTTACCAACCAGCGTCCTCATCGATCACTTAATGGACATCTATCTATATTTTGGAAAAATGTAAACATCATTGCCAAAATCGTCGTGTATACATCCCATACTTGTGTGATCATAACAAACGATTCCAACGATCGAAAAGGTTAAGCTGGTAAAAGAGTGCTACGTTTTGGTCTATTTTCTTTAGCCTTAAATTATATATTAATAAAAAAATTTCAATGTAAACTCAGCGGACAACAGCTGGTATAATCGATATTTTTTACATAAGTAGTCTTCCTATTCGTTCTTTACAAAATGAGAAATTTGTGGGTTAGGTGTCTTCTACCGTGCTTTAAAGTTCTCTACCCAGAAAATGTACACTTCTTGTCAGGAATCCGCTCCAGGAGCCTGGGGATATTTCTCCTTCGCCCTTCCCTACCCCCGCCCAAGAAATCTGTCCCGTTGGACCAAAAAACCCTACGATTTATGTTCACTGAAGAAAACAGCATAGCCTTTAAAATCATTTCCTGAAAGTTCATTATTAGAATATGAAAAAATCCAGTGTCTTAAAAATAGAAGTATTTCAGGACACTTACTCGAAATATATAGTAGAGATTTTTTTTCTTTTTTTTTTTTTTTTGTGTGTGAGAATGTACGCGCGTGTGTGTGTATTCACATTCACACAGGGCCTAAACAAGCAATAGCAAGTTAGATGAGGGCTTCAACTCTTCAGAAAAAATCTCATTATGTGAAGAGTGAAGTGGCTCTGTAGGGAGCATTATGGAAATATCTGGGTTTGATTTAATGAGGCTCTTCACATTGGTGGAATATCAACTTAACAGAGAAAAGTCTACCCGGGGCGTCCAAGTTACCAAAATGAAAATTGGCAATTGAGATGATAAGAAAGTGGCTTTCTTGTGCGAAATCACTTCAGGTAACAGAGATAACATTAAATAACATACATTCTATGCACCAAGAACAATGTTTTATGTACCAAGTCTCTTATCTGTCTCTTCTAATGACTTCCCTTAGCGGGTTGTTAGTACTTGACAGCAGGTCTCTGTGCGGGGAACTTTTTTCCAATTCCACATTCAAAGGAGGTCCATCAGAGAACATGATTGGCAATTTTCGTCATAATCTGCACATTATTAGCATCAAAATTGACATGGCAGTAACACTGGTGGTTTTTGATGTGCCTTTCTTCAAGTTCAAGGAAGTCCCTCCAGTAGCAGTGGTTTGGTATAGCAGGTCTCAGTTACCCAGCGGTGGCTTTTCTGAGGCAAAGGCGCGATAGAGATGCGTGAGAAATAAATCCAAGAGCCGTTTTACCGAGAGGAGAGGAAGACGCTAAGAAAGAAATTAAATTTAGAAAAGTGTCTGGAAGGTAAATGCTTCAGAACGACAGCCTACACCTAGAGAGATTCAAGTATTTCCCAGAGAGCGTGGATTATGGTAGTTAGAAAGCGTGAGCTTAAAAAATGCCTCTCCCCATCCTGTC